AGTACTAGTAGTACTAGTAGTACTAGTAGTAGCAGCAGTAGTAGTAGTAGCTCTTGTAGTTGTAGTAGTAGTAGTAGTAGCAGCAGCAGTAGTAGTAGTAGTATGACAACATATTTTCCTACTTAAGGGGGTATCGCTCTTCAAGGCTCCCTATCGCTCCCCACAGGAAATCACAGATTTTTGAAAGTGACGGCGGCCGAATACTAAATCTGTACATACCATCTTTTGACCCTTGCTCACATGTATATTGCATATATATATACATATATATATATATATATGTTACATATACATATATATATATATGTTACATATACATATACATATATATAAATATATATATATATATGTGTAATTACATACACAGACAGATAGATACATAGTCAACAACAATGTGTACATATCAATTTGTTGGTTCTATCCACAAATAAATATGTACATATACATATATATATATCAGTAATTTTCCATTAATGAGTGGTAAACACCCCATTTATAGATTGTTTATATACCATGTGGCCTATTGTTACAGACTATACTTAGCTAGTTATGCATCATTGCGGGAAATTCCATAATTCTTTCCCAGAACTGGTTTAAGGAAAAAACTACAGAAAACCCCGAATACATCCGAATACTCTGTGGCAAAAAAAACTACAGTATGGTTTCCTGTCTCCGCCTTTCGATTTTCCCACCTAAACAAATCCAGCGATGTTGGAGGTTCATCTTCAACCGGGCACTTATCCCGTAAGATTCCCTATAAATCACCCCATAAGTAGCCCAGTGAATCATCAAATTCTCATCCGCTGGCCTCAAGGAGAGCTCAGCGGCGGAGGTGGTGAAGAAGGACCTGGCCTCAGCAGCACGGCCCAACAATCCATCTATCTGGGCGACCTGAAAACAGGAAAGTATGGAAGGGATGGGAAACAAATTTTGTCCAAGGTTCCTGCGACTAGTAACATTAAAATCATCTGAGAAGCTAGCAGGACCAGTAGCCCTATGGGTGTGGCGTTGCTCCTTGATGTCTTCTGACATTCCAGCATGATTCTGGAGGTTCGACTCCTCCCTGGTCCGCTTTGTCTATCTCTGTCTATCTCTGTCTATCTCCTTCTATGTACCTATCAGTCTATCAGGCAGTCGATCAGTGGACAGGAAACATGGAGCCACACACCTTTACCACGAGGGTTTTTCCCTGCCCGTTCAAGTTCTTTGATGTCGTAGTTCAATCATTGATTTTGATGGATCAGTTTTTTTCTAGTAGACTACCCAATGATCGTTGTTTCGTACTCTCATAACCGCAGGCTGCTCCAAAATCTGGGATCTACTGAGCCCTCAGGCATCTTCAGACAGCTTAGGCTTTCCATCAGCGTCACTTCCTCAGCTTCAAAGCTGCAACAACCACCATTATTTACCAATTTACCAGAAGTTGGTTGTATAAACATGTACAAAGCATTCCCGATGTGTTGAAATCTGAAAATCTTTACATTTTGGGGCTCACGGATTAGAAAGATTATAATTATAATGTTCCAATATCATTTTCCTGAAACTTTGAATGTCCATTTCCGGGTAAATCTCCGATTTCATGAAAGCCCAGGGTCCACTGACGGCTGCCGCCCAGCTGGCTAAGGTCGCTAAAATCCGCGTCAAGTGCGGACCTCAAAACGTGCTTTTTTATGGAAATTCTGCAGGATCTATGGCGCTGTTAACTTGTTTTGTCCATTTTTTCCAATCCAAATTTGCGGGTTCAGGCTCAATTTCCCCCCAATTATCAAAAAAATGTGGCACAAGAAACATAAGAAACAAATGAAAAAAAAACAAAAACATGACTTTAAGGCTGCTGAGCTGACTGGTGAAGCGCGATGCTGGAAGCATCTTGGCGATTTCATCCAGAAATGTCGCGCTGCGCAGACCTGACAGAAAAAAAGGGTGTCGGAAGCAATGGGGTACACCAGAATCCAAGTTATATATATATATATATGGGTGTGTCTGAAAATAGTGTACCCCTAAACCCAATGGTTAATGATCATTATCCCTATTAAATGGCTATAATTGAGAATATACCCTATTTATATATGTGTTACCCTCTGGTAATTTAACAGTTCGCCATGGAAAATGGCCCATAGAAATAGATGGTTTACCTGGGTTTACCTATTAAAAATGGTGATTTTCCATGGCTATGTTAAATAACCAGATGGTATGTGTTATGTTCAATGGAAATTTCAATGGTTTTGGAGTGCCCCAACTTTAATGCCTAAATGCTTGCCATGGATCTAGGATGATCTAGGCAAAGGAATATTGATATCACCATCGGTTGGTCTGACTTGGTGAAGCTCCATGCATGGCGAATCTTAGATAGCTTGATCCATCATGTTGGTGAACCTCTAACCTAAACAGTCAAGCTTCCAAGGTTTTGCCCAAAAATCACCCAGCTTCCAGTTCCATCTCGGCTCCTGAGGCACCCAACCCTCGGCCGTCTGCAGCTTGCAGACCAGGTCGGCCGCCTTCTGTGCTTCGAGCTTCGGGAGCAGCGCCGTGATCTGCAGCTGGAGGTCCTTGCGGTCCTCGGAGGAGAGGTCGGCACCTGGCCATTTTGAGGGCGAAAAACGTCTGGGGATTTCGACGTTTCGACGGACAACCACCTGGGGGTCGGATTTCTAGCAACAAACTGGGATGTGCTCATGATTCTGCAGAAAGATGTTAGAACATGTCTGATGTGACTCAGAAAAAACGGAAGGTCAGCAGCAATCCTTGGGATTTGACTAGCAAATACTGGAGCTTATGCAGCAAGAATGGTGATGTCTACCATCCCAACATGTTCAGGTTAACCCTTGAAATGGACCATGGAACCTGAAAAAAACAAAGACTTCACTGGAAAATGAGGTTACCAGTGACAGATCTGTTGGGTGACCTGCAGGGTGACCTGCAGGGTGACCTATGATCACAATGGGCCTGCTGCATCCAGGCGGTGTAGAAGGCTATCAAAGGGTGACAACCTGGTTGGAGGGGCGTTGGAGGGGACGGGTCAAGTCTCTCCGGTAAAAAAAAAGAATGTGGTGTGGAACATGTTTCCAAACGTGCTTGAAGCATCCAATATCTCCAATTGCCACAAAGCCTCTGAAGCGATTTTCTGTACTACTCCGGACCCAACCAGCAGCAAGTCATAAATTCATTCGAAGGTACCTGAAACCATCTCAAATCTCAATGTTTGATGGTGATACTCTTGTGAAGCTGGCAAAATACCCATCTAAAGTTCTGAATCCCACTTTTGATTCATGTTTTTTGATTGTACAAGAAATAAGTTGGTTATCTCAGTTATCTCATATGCTTATTAGCCACAAATACCAACTGGGACATCCAAGTGCTTCCAGCCCCCATTGCTTCCATACCGGCCATGCTTGGACCTGACAACGCCCAGAAACATCAATCCTCCCTTCATGCTGAAGTGGCCCGATGCTCCACCACCGATGGTGAATGCCTGTCTCTGAACAAATGAATTTCTGAACAAAAAAATATTCCGCCAAAAGCCAACGGTTCATCATTTCACTCATCAAAGTGATGAATTTTCTGTGGCATTTGCATGAATATGTGTTTGTTTCCAAGGCTTTTTGGATGCTTTTCCTGGCATGTTGAAAGACCTTGGTGCTGATTGTAGTGGAAAATTCCACATTCTGCAATGAATGGAAAAAAAAACATTGGTTTTTGAAAAACTGGTTTCCCCATTGCATGAGGCATCTTAGGGCTCTATGTAACCCGTTTCAGGACAAGCTCGTTGGGAGACAACTTAAATGGTTTGCCACATATTCTGCGATTTCGATACTATGTGGTTGCTTCATTTGGACACTGGCTGGGATGTATCCCATTGCTCATTGACTCCAGCGGACACAGACAGGGGCCATGAACCCGCTGATGCCCCTGTCCTGTTGCAAGGAAGCCGTGTCCACAGCTTTGTCCGAAGGCACTTTGCCCTTCGCCACATTGTGCTGCGCCTGTGCTGTCGGTCAAGGTTTAAGGCCTGTTTAGAACCACAGACTTCGGTGGGTTTTAGCATTAACCTATCATCCATGTTTGAGGGCAATCCTTTAATGCGAAACACACCCCAGAAAACATGGTTTAGGGGACCATTTTGGGGGATGTTTAGTATTGGGGCGATGGGATTCCTCATCTTTGGTGTTGTAGCTGAAGAGCACGCTGAGTGTTGGACGTAGCTCAACATCGTTGCAATCGAAGAGGAGTCCTTTTTCTTCACTTCGGCCTGAAAACAATGCCACGGAACAACTGTTCCAACAGATTCAAAAAGAAAAACATGTGGGTGCGTCCATGAATAGGGTACCACCACCACAATACCTAATTGCTGATCGGATGATTCCCCATTCTTGGACAAAAACCAGTTGACAAATTTTGACAAACACATAAGACGAACCACTGGCAAACTTCAGATAAGCTGCTTCTGGCGCTGGCAGGAGAAGGCTGCCTAGGCGCAAACGTGCAGCGCAGCAACATACAGGGAAAACGTTGGAAAACATTGCCTGAATGGACAACAAATGATGATAACCTATCATAAGCTACAGTATCTACTGGAAGATTGAAATCAACAGCTCAAATAGTTCGAAAGTGGTTGCATCCACTTGCACAGAGTCCATGTTTTCATTCAGAGCTAGGGTGGCGACCATTGGTCTCGGCATCCTGTCCCTCACTAGCTTCGGCTCCCTCCTGCAGTTGAATGGTTGAGGTACACGAGTTTTGCGGGTCTGGCTGCTGCTTCAAGGCTCCTGAAATAAATGTGTCACTTATGATCATCATGCAGTGTCTGAGCAAAATCCAAAAATATCCGATGAATTGCAAGCGTCATTTCCTGCGGCATACCCTGCTCAGGCGCCTCCATTGGCACTTCTGCAACCTCAATCCATTCGCCAACCCGAGTTTCAATGGGCCCAAAAAAACTTCAGTTGTAGATGGGACCCACCTGCTGGGTATATCCAATAGGTGCAGACCAAGTGCCGGGCGGGTGGGCCCGGCGGATCGGCGGGAACCAATGCCGTCTCTTCCTTGGCCAGTGACACTAAATGGATGGCTATGGGTTGGAATTTAAGACCTGAACCCACTGATTTCGGTTGTTTTTTACTTAATTTTAGTTGTAAGCATCTATAGATTTTGGACTTCCCCAGCTTCAGAAAAATCAAGCCTTCTCGCAACGACCTGAGGTCGGGGCTGCAGGTGGCTTCTTGTGCTCTGGTGGTGGTGGCGGAGGTAGCTCATCTTCAATGGGTCCCTCTGCTGCTCTCTGCGCTAGTCTCTTCAAGGCATCCTTATCAAAGGCTGCAGGCTCAGGGGCTGTTGGAGGCGGCTGCTCTTCTTCAGCTGGTGCATAGGCAGCATTCATGGCTGCATTGATGCGTGCGGAGGCGGCTAAGTGAGCAAAGAGATCGATCTGTCCAGATCCAGTGGGTGGGGCATTTGGGGCGGCAGTTGCTGGTTGGGGGGTGAGGGCCAGTGAGCTTTGCAAGCCTGGAGTTGCAGCTTGTGATGCCTGTTGCTGTTGCCTGGCCACGAGCGCAGCAATGACAGCAGCCGCTTGTGGGGTCAATGTGGATGATGGAGGTGGTGAAGGGCCTATAGCAGGTGCAGCAGGTGCAGTTCCAGTAGCACCCCCAGCCAAAGCTTGTAGCAGTGCAACTGCCTGGGGATTGGGAGGTGCGGCGGCTGGTGCTTGCGTGCCAGCGGCATTTTGGGCCAGGGCGGCTAAGACAGCAGACTGTGAGGTTGCCGCTCCACCTGTGCCGGTGGCTCCTGCAGCCAGTTGCGCCAGAATCGCCGCCGCCTGCGGGTTGGGCGCTGGCGCGGGCGGTGGGGCTGTGGCCACCACGGGACCAGGGACCGCTGCAGTTGGCATTGGGGTGGTGGGCAGTGCTGGAGGGGCCGCCGGTGGCAAAGCAACAGGCGCTGCACCCTGGGCTGGAAGTCCAGGTGGAGCTCCCACGGCTAGCCCACCCAATGGCTGCCTTAGGGGAAGAAAAAAAACATGACTTGAAATGGATGATTGTTATGGTGGTTCTGATGTTTAGACAAAAAGTGGTCTCCACCTTCAACCAAGTATGCCGAATTCACACCAAGAAGCGGGGCTGCACCCGGCACAGCCGGTGGGGTTTGTCTTGCGGCAGCAATGGCAGCTGTGATGGCTGCAAGCTGCGGAGACCTTATTTGACACTAAACAAAAACGTAAATGATGGGTAATTCTGGCATTCCTGAAAAACTCGGGTAGGGGAAAAAATGTAAAAAAAAATGATTCAGTGAAGTTTTCTAAACTAATATCATAGCAGTATAACAAATCATTTTTTTCATTAAACAAAAAACACATAACAGTCCAAAAAGCCAGTTTATATATTGTTAATTGCTTCATCTTTCTCAACAATATCAAAACATAATTACCCCATTCAATTTTTAAAAATCATAGCAGTCAAAGCATACTTACCTCATTCAATTTTTCAAAATCATAGCAGTCAAAGCATACTTACCTCAGTCAATTTTTCAAAATCATAGCAGTCAAAACATACTTACCTCATTCATTTTTTCAAATTCATAGCAGTCAAAAGCATTATTACCTTATTCATTTTACAAAATCCTATCCATCAACCGTTCCTAAATTCCTTTTATGCTTCTCTGTTTTTAAATGTCTTGAATGACATTGTGCCTTCATTGATGAATTACATACATTACAAAAGGCAACTTTATCACGATAGTTTTGTATTTGTTCCTGTTTCTTTTTTCTATATTATTCATCTTCTTTATATTTAGTTCTTCGTGTTTCATTCACTTTATCTGTATGTTTGTCATAGTTCTTTCTCTTGTATTCCAAGCATGTCTTACAAGTCTTCAATCCATCTTCAAAATTATCAATTTGTAAATCTTTAACACAGTATCTACAAAATTTATCCATTACATATAAATATGATTATCTTCTTAAATGTTTTTTCCAAGAATTCCTACAACAACCAAAAACAAAAACAAACCAAGCGATGAACAAGGGAACACCGCCTTGAGGCGGGTGTGGGTTTTCTACAATTGTGTACTTGGTGATTGAATCAAAAATCACCTTTTTACACTGTAATTTGCAGTATTTTATGCTTGTGATCTATGATGTTTTGACGTTTGCTGCAAGATGTCAAAATGCCAAAAAAAACTTTTGCAATTCCGCAACATCTGTTTGAGACATGAATACATAGATATTTTAAATACCCTTTACACATATATATATAAACATGTAAACATACATGTATATAAAAAACACGCGTTTTGATAAATGTATGTTGTAAATGAACCTAGCAAAGTTGGGCAACGTGTCTTCGGTAGCGTCATCTTACAGTCGAAAGGAACGTTATCATCCCCCCCCCCCCCCCCACCCCCCCTCGCGGTCAAGGTAGCAAGACGTCAGCAACAAAGTTGGGCAAAGTGTCTTCCGTAGCGTCATCTTACAGTCGGCAAGAGCGTTAAACACGTATACTGCCAAAGAGCACAAACGTGGAAAAAACCACGCCCGCCTCGGGGCGTTGACCCCAAGAACAACATACGTAAAAAAAAAATAGACAACAATAAACATTATTCCCTACCCTTTAATAACCCTATCTTACAAATCCATAATTCTAATAAATAAATATTATTGGAAATATGTTAGTAGTAAATATCTTCAATAATTATCAAATCAAAATGAAATGCTTGTATTCCTATTATACTATCTTTATCTTGGTCTTCTTCTATGTCGGTATTTATTTCTTCATCTGCTTTATTCAATGCATATTCTATATTATCTTCATCTACATATTCATCAAAGTCATGCATGAAGTAAATTTCTCTATAACTAATTTCATTGTCTCCATATTCTTTATCTGGGAGTTTTGCTACTATTTGGACTTCAATATCAAGTTTAACTTATCTTCTTCTACTTCTTCATAAATCAAAGATAGTAATTCTTCTTTTTCTTCTGTTATGATGTTTCCTATACTTTTTAAACCAAATGGCACTCCCTCTCTCACAATACAGTATTCAATTACATTTTTTTCTTGGTTTCAAATGTCTTGTTTTTTTAGGACCAAATCTTGATATTTTATGTTTGTTCCGTATTCTCTTCAATGCTTCACTATGCTTTATTGTCAAATATTTAGGGTCTCCAATTTTATAAGGAGCGATCTTGCGCAACGCATCAACAGGCAAACCCTTCATACAATTCGTCTTATAAAACTTATATAAATAACTTAGTCTTTCAGTATATATTCCAAGATTAAAATGTAGAATTCTTTGAAAAACTACTTAAAGATAAATTAACTAAATAAAATATATACTATTATATGATGAAAAAGGTTAAAAACTATTTATTGAGTAATGATTTAGCAGAAATACCAAAACGAGGAAGAAGAGAATTAAAGTCAATAATAATAATAGATGATAAGAAATTCAGATGCAACAAAGACAAACCAATATCTAGTGTCTTAACAAAGAAACTACTGACGGTCAAGAAAACTAATGAATACAGAAGTTATGCTTTAAACAAGGCAAAAGATGCGTTCAGTGAAGGAAGAGTGAGACAAATACTAACCAAACACGCAATCAGAA